TGTTTGTCATTGGTAGGTCAATATGTGTCCCTTGCATTTTAATGACCTGTAAAGCTTATGGCTTTGGGGGTCCATGAGGAGTGATATATAGTGTTTAAAGTATTAATTCATTTATCACTTGAGTTTTCCAGTTTCTAATAACAGGTTGCCCAATCAGTATTTCCCAGTTTGCAATAAAGATCCAATGCTCTGGTTTCAAAGTAGAATTCCCATTTGGGGTGCTGCGCTCCATGGCTGTAACATGCTCCATAGTTCCAAAGAACTCTGTGCCTCTGTGTGGACATCCTGGGTGCTGGTCAAATTGTCCTGGGGACGCCCACCTGGTCTGGGTTAAAATGATATCCTGAGATCCCCTCATTGGCCCCATTGACTACTGTAATGTCTCCAGGAAAAAAAAGAGACTCAACTAGACCTTTGACTGTTAGCCACAGCCCTGAACCATGTGATCATCTATGTGACTTTTGGAGAAGAAAAACAACTGCAGCATGTTTGGAATCACTGCTTATGTTAGCCCTCCACATATAATATTTACTGGAGTCCCTCTATTCCAAAGAGTAGAGGATATTTCAAAATTACTTGTATCAGTTGTTTTTCTCTAATTGTATAAATTTCCCCTCCAAACTGGTCAAAGATACAATGTACAAGTTAGGGGATTTAATCCCCTTTACAACCTTCCAATTTCATTCTATATTATGACTAGAATATATATACTAATGATTGTTTTGACAATCCTAGATGGCATTTGTTGGTTTGAGGACATGGGATTCTTTTAGATATTCAGACATCAGTAAACTCAACCAGGCATAAGAAATAAAAAAGGGAGAACGGTTGTGGCCTGGACTGATCAACTGAGACTTTCCCTGAGGCCTTGATATATGGAGAAGGAACATAACTTCTTCTCAAAAAATATTTGGTAGAGCTAGTAATACCCTGGGGCCAGGCCTTGGAAGTTTTTCCTCAGAGGCCCTGAAGTAAGGCGAAGGAATGTAGCTAATTCTCTAAAACCAGAAATATGCTTGGTAGAGCTAGTAATGGCCTGGGACCAGGGTCTTGGAAGAGCTATGACTTCATATCCTCTGAACCCAAATATTCCCATGATGTGGGGCTATGATTATCAGAATCAAGACTACTATATGCTCAGTCTGTTATGCTCTCATGAGATACCCTGTGTAACTTTGTTTGATTAGCTTCTTGCTGACTTTGTTACATTGTACGATAGTATCTACTGACTTAGTTACATTTCTCAGTTAAAATAGTACATAAGATGCTATACTTCTTATAAACCTGCTTGGTATAAAACAAACCTGTAATGAGAATTTTGGTTTCTTTAAAAACCCACTTATGTAAAAATGTTTTTGTTTTAGTCTCAGGTGTGGGATACAGGGCTGCTTCAGATTGTCCACAACAGCAGACTAATTGCCTCATGAATGCTCTGGCAGTGGCATGATTCTGCCACTTGAAGATAGTTTAATTCTGGGGACTCTAGAGAAGGTATAAAAAGACCAGAACCCCAAGTGACGAAGTACAGATGTTTCTCCTGCTTGTTTCTGCTCCTGCTGTTGCTGGTTTGCCAAGTGGTTGTGAGAAAGGTGACTATTGTAATTCCAGCAGTAGGGGAGGCAGAGGCAGGAGGATCCCTGTGAGGCCAGCCTAGTCTACAAACTGCGTCCAGCACATTCAAGGCTACACAGAGAAGCCCTGTCTCAAAAAAAAAAAAAAAAAAAAAAACAAAAACCAAAAAACAAAATTATAGATAATAAAAGAAAAACGAAGATATTAGAGATATTCTGACAAGACTAAGATTGGACTTGCCTCAATGAAATCAATACCCCTAATAAGCAGAAAGTAGTTCTAAAAAGAAAATCTCAATGCCCTTCTTCCCAATAGCCTTCTGTCTCTTCTACATGGTGTTGTAAAGTTGAAAAGGATTAGGGTGAAAAAAAGTGATGGAGGGAAGGATGAGATATAAGAACCTAATAAGATAGATAGATAAAACAAATATGCCTGCATAAAGCCTGTGCAAACATACTGAACCCACCTGTTCTATCTTTATGTCTGATATCCTGGACCTTTCTTCTCAGGACCCTGTCACTAAAGAATGACCCACTGATCCAGTTCATTTCCTATTACCATACAAGGTCAGGGGACTGCATTCAGGTTTCAGACCTGACAGTCAGCACTGTGTACTTGCTGAACTGTCTTGATGGGCAAAACCAGAAAATTATAAATCAGGTCTCAAATTAGTGTGTCTTGGGATATGATAATTACATTTGTGAGGAGAAATGAAAGCAAGTGACAATTCCATTTTGATCCACAGCACAAAGTGGTTTGATGGCAAGCTTAAGTGTACATGGAAATTCAAAACACTACTGAGGATATGGCCATTTAATCACACAAAAGTGCTTAGAATAATCTCACCATGGAGGAACTAGAGGTTGAGCCCATCTCATTCTACTTGGGCACAGCCCTACTCAGAGGACAACCTGAACAAGTTGTAGTGAAACACATTCCTTCTTAGGACCTACTTAAAGAGTCACAACTAGCTTGCATGAGCAGTTGGAAGAGATCAATGCAAGTCTGAGGAAGGGGTGTGTGTTGGCACAAGTAGATGTCGAAAGCAAAGCTAGACCATGCTGCTTTGAAAGTAGAGTCATCTAGCAGCCTTGGTATTGCCAAAGCTTGAACTAACTGCAGGCTGGCCCCAGGCAAAAGCATAGACAGAAGAAACAGCCCCTTCTTCCCCACCCTCCACCCCCAACCCCTACCTTGAGGAGTGGGAGAAGAAATAGTTTCTGTATATCAACTGATGCACGGTTGGCTAAATATGTCAGAACACAGGAAGACTATTCTGGAAAACTGCACAATTTTGTACACTTTTTGGAAACTCACCTACACTGAGACAGAGCTCCTGTCCAGACTGGCTGTGGGCCACATTGTGATATCATGTGACCAACAAAAAGGATGATGACTCCAGCAGATGGTTGCCCCACTACTGATACTAGAACTTAGTGGCCAGTATTACTGGGACATGCCTAGTGGAAGCTCACTCTATTTGGACTATCTTGAGGGATGTTTCATGGTCTGCAGGTCATAGTATGCCCGATGATCAGTCAGAGGGTGGGTGAACACTGTGCCACTAAGCTGGGTCTACCTGCTGGGCAGGTGCCTGGAAGAGAGATCCCACCTAATTCTTCATCTGAGCCATGGGTGTATTCAAGAAGTTTGGTGAGTCAAGGCAACCATGTCGGGGCACAATATGCAGCCTCCCAAGGGAGACTCCACCCTGAAGACCAAAGCCAACCTACTGCCAATGAAGAATGTGGCACCAATCTCCTGAGTCTGCCCTTCCCTAGGAAACTGTAAATCATAATGCAGAACAAGGCCTTCAAGTCTGTGAACTAGGGTGAAGAAGGAGACATCATCATGATTCACGTAGATCTGTTTAAGAGAGGTCCTTCATGGCAGAGGTGCACAGAAGATTTTTAAAACAGATAGCTTGAAGAGTTTTATTCGCCACCTCAACCTGTATAAGCTTAGAAACATTTGCCCAGAGGATTCTGTGTGCTGCTCTTGCGAAAACAGGAAAATGATGGTAAAAAACAAACTTGTTGTCTCCCACTTTTCGTGATGAGAACATCTTCCTTTCTGCACACCCCATGAATCATGTGCTTCAAGCTCCTCATTTAGCAGAGGATGTTGTTTACTGAAGGATAAAATAGACATTGGCTGCCCCTTAGATGCCAGCAGGCAGGTAGGCAGTTAGTGTTACATACATGTGTCACCACCTTTACCTTTGAGTCATTTCTCTGTACTGGGGTCCTGCTGCCACACATAACACCCTTCACCAGCCACTTCAGTCATTTCCTCCATCACTTTAAAGACCAGTAGAATGTGGTGGGCCAGTGTAGCTCTATTTCAAACTGGTTAACCTTGTCTATTTTGTTTTAGGTCTATGGCAACTTCAACTTCCAGTGAGACAAGCCAGAGCTCCTAGAGAATATTGGGAGGAGCAAATTGATCAGTGCAGCTGCATTGAGGAAGGCACAATCTCCAGTCACAATTGTAGGGCAAAGTGCAAAGAAGATGAAGCTTTTACTCACCAGACCTTCCCCTCAGTTACACAAGGCCAAGGCTGATGGCAAGTCTCAGCAGGTAGCTCCCAACAGACACCTGCAGGCAACCTTTCCAAATGGCCTTTCTAGTACATGCAAAAAGAGCAACATCCCTGTAAGTGCCTCAGACAGCTGTCCACCTCAGGAGACAAGTAACCCATGTGGAGAGGTCACATATGATAATACAGTTTCTCCATTGGCTTCTGTTAAGATGGAAGTGCCTGGGTATACACCCAGTAGCTCCTCGGGGTTCCTCAGATATGGGTATGTGATATGTGTGTACAACACTTGTCATTTCAACCTGAAAGCTGCCCTCTCAGCAATAGCCCCAAGTGAGTCCACCGAGGAGGAAAAGGAGGAGGAAGAGGAGGAGGTAGAGAAATCTCAGAGAACAAGTGTATAATCTGTGCATTGTTTAAAAACAAAAACAAAAATATCTCGTGAACTCACAGGTCAGTCACCATCTTTCTGGAATTGAACCAATTTTATTTCTCAATGAAAAAAAAAAGATCTCATGGTGGCAAAATAACTGAACTTAAGCCTTGAGTTTGTGCACCAGCTAAACCTCTGCACTATTCCTGTGTCCTTTCTTATCCTTGAGTTTACCTTGCCCTCTCATGAAAAACAGCTGAATTTTTCCAGGAGACACAGGGGCATGGCTCCTGACCTACCATAGTCACTTCACACAGCTCTGGTATCTTAGAACAGGACCTTTTATTCTCCTGGATCCCAAACTTCAGTCAATGTTACTATGAGTTTTATCAGGGCATTGGTGTCAACTGGTCCCAGACTTGTCACATGGTCCCCTGGAAGCTATTCATACACTGCATGGGATTTTAATGTAATAAAGACATGGGAAAGCAAAAAGAGAGCCCAGACACCAAAGACTTACCATAAAACATTTATTTGTGCAATCAAGGAAACAGCAGGACTAAATTGATTTCAGCAAAAAGTTATTTCCGGGGAGTTTTCCTTTTCCCTAAAGGCCAAGTTTCTTGAGGCTCTGTAGCTTTGCTGACAGAGCCACAGTATGAGGGATGTTTTCTCTACCATCCTCTTCATAAGGGCATGGTAGTCTGGGTCTGGGAACATCACATAGTGGGCTGTGATCTGAGTGTTAGTGGTGCCTTAGAATTACCCTGGTACTTAGAGGTTCTCTGATAGCATTATACTATGATGGTCTATTGAGAGGGCCATTATTTCGTTGTTTTCTTGGTACTGTTCTCCAGACCATTCACTGCTCCACTCTTACCCAATGGGATCAGGTGCTCTGGGATGTCTACCTGGAATATATCCTTCCCCCCTTTTCTAGGTATGGGCTCCACTAACCACCTGGGGTTTGAAAGTGGAGTCAGGTACTTGTGCTGTAGGTTGGTTAGCACAGCTTGAGTTTCCAGTTCCACAGCCTCATCAGGAGCTAAGGTTTCTGAGCATTGCAAAGTCTCTCCAATGTCAACAAGTCCTGGGTACAAAGACAGAAACATACAGATGTATTCTTTTCTATACAACAGTTATCTTTATGACAGCAGGATCATTACAGTGTTAACTGATAGGATATAGTATATCACCAAAAGGGTAGGAAACAGGGATTTTTCTCACTAAATACTGGGGACATGACCAATTGAACTAGGGAGTCCTGGGTAAGGCAGTCACAGGCCTTGAGAGAGTGGCTTCTCCTCAGTGACTCTTCCACTAAGGGACAGTCATGTTCTACCATACTGCTAAGGCTGGTATTTACCTACTGAAAGAGAACCAGTTCCAGCCAGGAAGCCTACAGTCAATAAGAGCCCAATTAGATCACCAGATGACTGGATTAGATGTTGATTGGTATCTTACCTAAGGTCCTTGTGACAGGCATTAGAAGCCAGGCAGGCAGCCTTACTCTAGATAACACTCCATGTTTTAAGTGCTTATGCTGACTGTGATAGGCTATACCTTTTGCAGATATTCATGAATAGACAGTCCAGTGCTACAAACAGGTACTGACCTCACATGGGCTCTCACACAAATAGAATCTGAGGCCCAGAGTCAGAGGTAGCTACTGGACTCTGTGGAACCCAGGCTATGTAACCCAGCCTAGTGACTTGACAGCCCTTAGAGAGGCTGCTTGGAAAGGTTAGCCCACATCCTCTAGCTAATGGCAAAACAGAACCACCAAATTATCGATCATCATCCTGTCACAATTGTCTACATCATATTTGGTACAGCCTCACTTACCAGCTATCACCCCTCTGCCATATTTTTCTCCTTCCTGTAGTAAGGTCTGAATCTGTTTCCAGGTCATCCCCAACCTTTCCACCAGCACCTCCTGCCATGCATCATCTTCCCAGTCCCTGTGAGCAATGTGGATGGCAATGGTACAATTCTGATGGCTACTCAAAAGCGGATGCCAACGTGTCTCAAGAGTCTTGACTCCATTTAAGATTAAACCAGCATAGGGCTGCCGAAAGGAGAGGCAGGGAAATTTCATTTTCCTCACAGTCTCTGAGCCTAAAAACAGAAGCACATCACAGTTCAAGTTCATTGGTCCTCATGTTCCCCTGATGTCTCCCATGTGTCCTGAAACTCCACTGAATTTGATGTGCTTCCTGCCACAGAGGCCCAATGCCAGTAGTTGAGATTAGGATGACACTGGTCCATGTAGTTCTTGGGAAGCTCACAGAACCAGGATAAAGACAGCTTGAGGAAGGTACTGGGAGAACAGTGTGGTGTGTACTTATGGAGGTCACTGGGCCCTAGGAGAAGGTCATCTTGATCTAGTCAGGGTTCACACCTAGGTAAACTGGCTTTAGCACAGAGGGGAAGTCTTAGCTTTCCTACTTTTTCTCTGGCTGCCATGATATGGCCTACATCTTCTTACTCTCAGGTGACTGAGCTGTGCTTTTGGACTTAGGAATCCAACTTCTGTGAATCCAAATCCACCTGTTTCTGCTTGGTAGGTGAGGTCACTGCCTGTCCTATTTTTGTTGCCTAGATGTAGCAGCTAATTTTCCTCCTCCCACCACCTGGTACATAGCAGTACCTGCCTGTAAATGCTTCTCTAAATATCTTTCACTAGCTCCACAACCACCATCATATCAAGCCCCTAGCTCCCACTGCCTCTTCAAGCACTACCTTTCAGCGGCCTTGTGCTGCAAAGCTTTCCACGATGCACTCAGAATGACCTTGGTACTGGGGTCATCAGATCATCTCATTCTTCAGCTGAAACCTGCCAAGGGCTCCTGTCCCAACCAGCCCACAATCCACCCATCTCACTAGGCTCCTCAGGGTTCCTTGTAATCTGGCTACCCACCCTAATCATCTGCCCTTTTTCCACTTAATTCACTACTATGTAGCCAAAACAGATGAGTTCCCTTCTTCAGGGTTCTGCAGACCAACATGCTCTGTGGATGAAAAAGCTGTCCCTTTGACTTGTTTCTGCTTCTCAACTTGCACCAGCAGAAGGTAGATAAAGGAAGAAACAAGTAAAAGATAGCTGTGTTCGTTATTGACTGCAGGAAAGGCTTCTGCTCAGCAGGTGCTGGTGATCAACAATGATAGGGCTGGCCTTACAGAGAACAAAAAACGTCCGTCTCACAGGTTGGTTCTGCAATCATGGCAGTGGGAAGGTCCTTTCTGCCTGGGATAAGGACCACCCGATGTAGAAAGTTAATTCTGCATGTGGTTCCCATTATTAACCCAAGCACTTACAATCTAACACGAGAAACATGATTCCACACAGAATGTGGTTGCACGGACATTTGCTCAGGGGTACAGTGCATTCAATATTATTTGGTAGACGAGACTGGGCATAATACCAAAGGCTAGAGATCCGCACGCCTCATAGTCTGGGGTTTCAGTGAGTTCATAGCCTAAAAGTAAGGAGGGACCAGTGCGTGTGGAGCAGCACATGTGGTTTCCATCTGTCTGCATCCACACTTGGAAACAGTGAGATGTTGGCAAGATGGGGCAGGCAAAGATTTGCCTTGGGTTGTCTCTGCACAGTCGGGGAAGCTGGAGCCTGGGGTACCCTCAATTGATTGGGGCCAAGCTTACAAGGCTCCGATTCACAGGTTACCTATTTCCTTTGCCTGCCCTGGGTGTCTCAGCCTTACCACTTCGCACTCTGCCCGCTCCAGTTTATGCACCGTCCTCAGCCTTCCAGTGTTCCAGGGAGATCCGCAGTACCAATAGCTCCTACGCGTGGGTGGATAACGTCAGCTCTAAAGAAAGGAAAACATGTGGGTAGTTAGTGCCACTAACAGGCATTTTTGGACTTTGACTGCTTTAAGGCACAGACGCAGAGACGTACCCACGCCCATACGCACACAATCTTTCGTAAGCGCGCACACCATGTCATTTACATGCTCAAACATTTGTAGCCAATAAGATCTACAGACACCATTTATGCATCAGTGATAGGAAGGCACGGACTTACGTAATTAAGCTGGAAGCTAGGAGACCTTGTGGGATTTACCGGTTTCTTAAAGCAATCTGCCAAATAAAACTGCTTCAGGGTCTGTAAGAGGTGGCTAGGAGGGAAAAGACAAAGAATCGGGGATTTAGTCGGCTGAATCTGCAAAAACGGGAGCCGGGTTTGGGCTGTGAGGGAAGAGGCTTGTTGAGGAAGGGCTTGTGTGAGCTGTGTTAGTCCTGGGGCTAGGCTTTGGGATGGGGCGGGGTAAGGCAGGGCTGTGAGTTGGGACTGGGAGTTTGTGCTTGGAAGAGTCCGTTGGGAACAGACCGGAACTGCCAGTGCTTGCAGACTGGGCTGGGCAGTGACCAAAGTTTGGCGTGGGTGGAGCTACCGGGATAACAGGGTGAAGCTTTGGACCTCAACTTAATTTGGCCCGGATCTGCTTAAGGAGAAGGGAAGGGCTGTGCATACAGAAATGAGAGTGGTGAATCAGACTGTCAGTTTTTAGCAAGGTGGGCAGATTCTCAAAAGTACTAGCCAGGGCTGTAAGTGGTTGACAGAGCTGAGCTTCAGACGCTGGCATTACGCGCTGAAGTGCTAAGGGAGAAGGGCGTGTCTGTGCATGCGGAATTAGAAGTGGTGGGCGGGGCTATATGTAAGGAACGGAGCTTTGGATTGTGACAAAATAAAAGCCCAGAAATTCTGAAAGAGGACAGGGCCATTTGAGATAGGAGTGAGGGCCAGGTTGTGGGTGGTGGATGAGGCTGTTAGTGCTGACTTGGGACTCTAAAGTGCTGGCTGGGACAGTGTGTTGTGAGGTATGATGGCAGGGCTGAGCTTTGAATTTTGATATAAAGTGACAGAAGACCACTGAAGGAATAGGACATGGCTGTGCATACTGACATAGGAGTGTGGATTGTGTATGTTGAGGTTGGGTGCAGTATTGTGAGTTGTAATGTGTGAAGTGAGGGAGGAGTCTAGTATACTGGTTTATTGTGGCCCAGAAACCCTGAAAGAAAAGGGAAGGGCCATTTTTTTGTGATGTAGGCGTGGTGGGCAGGCAGTATACTTTGTGAGTTTGTAGTGTTGATGTCTGATGGTGGGCAGGACTGCATGCTGCATTTGGAGTGGTGGGCAGTGGTGGTGGTGGTGGTGGTGGTGTGTGTGTGTGTGTGTGTGTGTGTGTGTGTGTGTAGGAGTGGAGGGTGGTGTTTTGAGTGTGTTGCACTAGGTACGTTGGATTTACAGAATAGGGCAGGGGGCTGTAGGTATTAACTGATGGAGGGGGGAAAGCAAGACTGTACACTGACGTAGGAGTGGTGGGTATAGCTGTGAGTGCTGCCCTAGGTGAGCTATGTCTCAAGAGTAATAGGGATAGTTGTCAATGTTAAGATTGAAGTGGGAGTGGAGCTTTGGATATTTTTATGATATGACACAGGGCCACTAGAAGTGGAGGGTAGAGCAGTGCATGCTGAATTGGGGGTGACTGGTAAGTCTGTGAGTGCTGAACTAGGTGGGCCAGGCCTTGGGAGAACCAGGGCAGTGTTGTGTATATGTGGTGAAGTGTTAAGTAGAGCTTTTAATACTGTCATAACATAGTTCAGACTGCTGATGAAGGGCTGGGTTGTGACTGCTGACCTCAGTGGATGAGTTTATGGGTGCAGTGATGTAGGGAGAGAGCATTGAATTCTAACCTAAAATGGTGTGGTGCTAATGGAGAAGCAAGGCTGATGGTGGTGAGGTAGAAATAGGGACAGAGATAAAAGAGAAACATGGTGAGCCTGTGAGTGCTGTAGTAGAGCTGGAGGGACTCCTGGAAGAGCAAGGTAAGCCTGCTAATGGCAGAGTAGGTGGGAGAGGAAGAAGTTCAGGGCAGACCATTGTGTTACACAGTAAGGCGTCTGGAGTAGGGCTGCAGGGAGGAGCAGTACTGTGAGAGCTGAGGTGGATATGGGGGCAGTGTCATGATATTTGCTGGATAAATGGGGTGGGACTATGGGTAGAAAATGGCAGAGCAGGGACCTTCTAGGTACAGCCAAAGGGGCTTGTAGAATAGCTAGGTGTAATTGGAAGGAGGTATTCAGAAATCATGTGGCACATCCTTAAGAGGCAAAATGGCAAGGAAAGAGTGTTTTAGAGACATAACCATATCTTGAGGGTGCTCTCCATGAGCCACCATAGACAGTATGAATGCTTCACAAAGGCCAGGATCTTTTGTCTGGGGCCCAGATGTCCTTAGAATGAGTGTTAAAGGGTAAGGCTGAATTCCTGATGTCAGTGACTATTTTTCCAGACACCACTGTCCAGAACTACCAATGGTCATGATCTTATTGAGGCTTATTTCAAATGTGGGTTTGGCAGCAAACTCTGAGTCCCTACTTCTTCAATATCTATAAGAAAATATGGTCCTATGTTGCTAGGACTACTACCTGAGGGCAGTCTTTGTCTACTGCCTGAGCTCTTTCCTGAGCCTCTGGATATCTCCACTCCAGCCATCCTTTACACATAGGTTTCTAAGCTATTCTTACCAGTCTTTCAGGTCTTCTTGTTTGGGGGAGGGTCTCAACACCAGATGTCAATGCTATCTCTCTTCATCCTTATTCTCTAGTGTGGATCATGGCCTCACTCTGCTATGCACTCCCTTGTCTCTGACACAATAGACTTTATTCAGTCAACTCCTTTTGATTTCTCAGTGTCTGTGCTCTATAGTGCCTGTTCCACTTCTGTCCTAGTTTCCCCATTTCTTCAAGGTACAACTTCACTGTGTAATGCCTAGAATTTAGGCATTTTTGTTTCTCAGTTCTGGTAACATTTTGCAATGATTTCTGTGCTTCCTGAATTAAGATCATAGAACCACATAAGACTGTAGCTCTTCTCTCATAGAAAGCATGGGGAGGGAGAGAGGGAGAAGGAGATGAAGAGGGAGAAAGATGTAGGCTTAGATTTTTCACCAAACCTACTTTATTTGGGGTTCCTAAATACCTTTACTTCCCTTTCAACCCCCACCCCCATGACCTTAGATAGGATATTGGTAGCAAAATGGGCTGAAAACCTCTTTTATCTACTTACTGATGATTAGAGTCATGGGTCTTTAGGGGAAAGTTCTCAGTTCTCAGGATACCAGCAGTCGAAGCCAAAGGCCAACACCAAGAAGCAACATGAAGTCATGGAAAGGTGTAAGACTCAGTTGGAAGTTCTCCGGAACCCTTCTCTCTTCAGAGTCAAGTAAGCACGAAGTTCAGTGCAGCAATGTTGTTTCCTATCTATCCATTCCTGTTGTGTATCTTCTCTGCCCCTGATCCTGAGCTTGCCTATTTCAGATTCTCTCCCACAACCTTCTTTCCAGGCAAATGGGATCATATGGTATCAGCCTGAGTCCTATTTTTGTTGTTGTTGTTGTTGGCTTTGATATTTCATATGGATGAGAAGAAGCTGTGCCCCAGGAATCCTAGACAAGGATGGGCTGCTTACACCCTGTTGGGTAGGTTTTGTTTTCATCACATACTATATGTGGATGGGAAGTGGTGGCACTTGAGTAAACTTACAGACATGGCAGGCTACTTTCAGTTCATTGGAGAGGAGTGAGGCTGGGAAAGCACAATTTGGATCTTTTGGGTTTCTTTGACCTGGCTAGCAGTGATTTGAAAAAGAAATGTCCTCCATGGGCTCATATATTTGAACACTTGATCCTCAGTTAGTGTTGAAGTTTGGGGAGGTATTGAACCTTCAGGATATCAAGCCTTGCTGGAGAAAGCATATCAATTGAGGTGAGCTTTGATAGTTTATAGCCTTCTCACACTTCTGGTTCATTTTCTCTGCTTCCGTGTGTACATCAGTCAGCATCTTGCTCCTGCCACCATGCCATGCCTTCCCTGTAAGGAGGAGTCTATTTCTCTGGAAACAAATGTTAATAAAGCCTTTTTCCTATACTTTCTTTTGGTTATGGTATTTTATCATAGCAACATGAAGGTAATTAATACATGGCTCCAATCTGTTATATCAGCTTTAAGTTTGAGGCATTCATTCCCTTTCTTCCAAGGCTCCAATTGTTTCAGCACCACTCTTCATTTTCTTCTTTTCTAATATTTCAATCATGAAAATATAACCCATGTGTCATTCTGAAGGGAGGACTTCAGATGACATGTGACCATGATTATTTATATGACTCAGGGGTTGGTGTCCAGGCTCTACAAGATTCTAGACAAGAATTGAGCTAGTGTGCCTTCTCTAGAAGACTCATTTTTCCACATGTATACTTCCAAGCTTGCTTTGGCAATTCTGAAAAAAAATGAAAATGTAGAATACAGACAGGGACTTGAATGGGGCATTCCAAAGTAGTAAAAGTATTTTGGGTTAAGTCATAACTCTCCTACTCCCTTTTCTGTATATTTTCTTCATTCCATTAAGTTGATGCTGTTTGATTATTTGTGTCATATTTTCTGTTTTACTATTAGTCTATACTTTAAAAGAATCTTAACAAATTTAATCTAACATTCTCTACAGCTTAATAGCGAGTATGTTTATTAGAAATCTTTCCTCACTAAAGGCCAGCAGATACATTCAGAGAAAATGTGGATTTTCTCACCTTGAATCTAATGACATCATTTGTTCAGAATTGTAAGTTGTAATTGTAATTTTCAGGTGGTCCTACTGAGGTCATCTTTCAGGTGGACTTCATTGAGATGCCAGGTATAAACCTCATAGAGGACAATGCATGAAATACCTCTTTTGAGTTATTCCCATGTTCTTGGTATTTCATGACCCAGCAGACAGCTGTAGGTCACTTTAGAATGAGCTTTGGGTTAATTCAAGCATCTCCATGTTGTGATGCTGCAGCATTCTCTGTAGTCATTAGGGATAGGTCTAAAACTAGGCTACAGA